AAGACAGAAACATTTAAACAAAGTATTAATAATACATGTGATAAGAAAAAAAGTTTTAGAAATATATCAAGTTAAGGAGATAATACAGATCAGGGAGTGATTCAGAGCAGTAATCTTTAAAAGAAGAGAACAAAATCCAGAATTCATTGATTTTGTACAATTCACATTATCTGGTGTCCAATCAAAAACTATTAAACATACAAAGAATAAAAAAACAAATCAAACAATAAACAGACCAATAAATGATAAAGATGATGAAATTAATACATAATGACTTTAAAATAGATTTTATGTTAAATATGCTCAAGAATTTAAAAGAAAATACAAACATAATGAAACAGAAAAATATCTTATGTATTTTTACTATTTTGGTATGTTTTCATACATTTACATACATTGTGTATTTAGGTGTACGTGTGTAGGTATATGGGGGTGAACACAAGTACACCAAATGAAACTTCAAGACACACAAAATACAGTATCTGAAATAAAAAGTACACCGAACGACGTCAGCAGCAACTAAACACTGTAAAACCAATTCGTGGACTTGAAGAACAACCAGATGAACCAAAACAAAGCACCAAGAGAAAAACAAAAACAGTAAGGAAAAAAAATAAGGAAAAAATAAAGTATTATGAGTTGAACTGTGCCCCTTCCCCTCTGTCTTCAAAAAAATATGTTGAAGCCTTAACCCTCAGTATCATAAGGGTGACTCCAGTTGGAAATATGATCTTTGCAGAATTAATCAAGTTAAGATTAGGTCATTAGGGTTCCTTAATCCAGCAAGACTGATGTCCACACACACACACACACACACACACACACACGTACACAGATAATGCCATATGAAGATGCATAAATACACAGACGCAAAAATGGGACGGCTGTGTGAAGAACACCGAGGCAGAGACCGGGGCTATTGTGCCACAGCCCAAGCAACACCTAGTTACATAAGAGGTAGGAAAACTTAAGAAAAGATGCTCCCTTAAAAGTTTTCAAAGGGAGCATGGTTTGGCCAATACCTTGATTACAGAACTCTAGTCTCCAGAACTGTGAGGGAATAAATTCCTGTCATTTTAACCACCTAGTTTGTGGTACTTTGTTATGACAGTCAGGGAACTATTACAATCAAGTGACCTATGGACAGCATCAAGAAATCTGACATATATGAACTCCCAGCAGGAAGCAAGGGTTACAGAATAACGAAGAGAGAAAAAGTACTAGAGGAAATCACGGCTGAATCTTGTTTTTCAATTTCATGAAAGCTAGAAACAACAGATCCAAGAATCTCAGTAAGATATCCCAAACAAGATAATGATGAAGCTATCCATATCTACACCAAGGCATACCATGTGCTAACTGCTTTCAAAACAGAAATGAAGTTTTTAAGGCAGCTTAAGAAAAAAACATGCATTACATACAGAAGAATGAAGATAAAAACTGAATACGATTCTCATAAATTATGCAAACTGAAAGACAATGGAACATCTTAAAAGAGCTAAAACAAAACTACCAACCTAGATTTCTATAAACAGTGAAAATCTTTATAAAATCAAAGTGAAATAAAGAGCTCTCCAGACAAGAGTTGATAGAGTTTTTGCTGTCAGAAGACTTACAGTGCGAAAAACTACAGAGGACTTGGCAGGCAAAAGAAAAATAATACCAAATGGAAACATGAAACTTTACAAAAGAAGCATGCCAAAAAAGGTGAAACAAGATTTGTTAATTTCTTTTTCTAAAATACAATTGTTCAAAGAAAAAATATTAACAATGTTATTATAGAGTTTAAAACTTATATAGAAATAAAATATAGAACAAAAACAGCACAAAGAATGGGGAGGGGAACAAGAGCTTACTCTCTGAAGATTCTTACATTCTTTGCGAAGTCGTATAATACCGTTTGAAAGCAGAAAGTGATTAGTTAGAAATGCACATACAAAAGCATAAAATGTTCATTATAAATCTATATTAAAGGGTACACAAAGTATAAAGAGCTTCCCTGATAGTTGGTAAAGAATCTTCCTGCAATGCAGGAGACCCTGGTTCAATTCCTGGGTCAGGAAGATCCGCTGGAGAAGGGATAGGCTACCCACTCCAATATTCTTGGGCTTCCCTTGTAGCTCAGCTAGTAAAAGAATCTGGCTGCAACACAAGAGACCTGGGTTTGATCCCTGGGTTGGGAAGATCCCCTGGAGAAGGGAAGGGCTGCCCACTCCAGTATTCTGGCCTGTAGAATTCCATATACAGTCCATGGGGTCGCAAAGAGTTGGACATGACTGAGCGACTTTCACTTTCTACTTTGTATTATGTATAAACGGGGCAACAATGGAGAAACAGACATAGAGAACAGACTTACAGACATGGGGAGAAGGGAGGAGAGGGTGAGATGTACGGAAAGAGTAACAGGGAAACTTAAATTACCATTTGTAAAATAGACAGCCAACGGGAATTTGCTGTGTGGCTCAGGAAACTCAAAAGGGGGCTCTGTATCAACCTAGAGGGGTGGGATGGGGAGAGGGGAGGGAAGTTCAAAAGGGAGGGGGTATTTGTATACCTATGGCTGATTCATGTTGAGGTTTTAAAAAAAAAAAAGATGTAACCTGTACCTATAACAATATAAACGGAGATGAGACAGAGATGTCAAGAGTGGGGTATTTGTACATGATTGAAACTAAGCTGATTATCAAACTACATCGTTTTTAAGTTTCAAGGTGTTAGTTTTATCCGTTAAGATAACCAAGAAAAAAACTTTAAAAAATAAAGAAAATGGGGGGAAAGGGAATCAAATGGTATACTACAACAAACAAAACATAAAAAGAGGACATCACTGAGAAAATAAGGAAAAAAAGCATGAAAGTCATAAGGAAAAGAAACAGCTATGTGGCATAAAGTTCCCCCATCAGTAATTACTTTAAATATGAATCCATCAGCTTCTCCTACCAAAAGGTAGCAATTAGCAGACAACAGATTTTTTAAAATTTTAATCAAAAAATTTTAAAAACATGGATCCATCTATACACTCTGTATTACAGACCTCACTTTTGACGCAAAACCACAAAGAGGTTAAAAAGGAAAGCATGAGAAAAGATTTCCATGCAAAAAGCAACCAAAAGACAGGACTTCCCTGGCAGTCCTGTGGTTAAGATGCCACAGGTACACTGCAGGGTACACTGGCTGAATCTCTGGTTGGGGAACTAGGTCCAACCTGCCACAAAGCGTGGCCAAACCAAAGTAACCAAAAGAGAGCCGGGGGGCTATAACATTGTGAAATGAAAGAGATTTTAAATTTTAAAAAGGTAACCTTTAAAAAGCAAAGGATATATTAGCAAAAGGCTCACCACTCCACTCAAAAGATTAAAAAAATTATGAACACACACACATTTAACAGAGCTCCAGAATACACAAAAGTGAAAGAACTAAGGGGAAAAACAAACAGTCCTCCAAAAACAGTTGGAGATTTCAATACTCCATGTTCAATAACGGATAGAACAATGGAGGAAGACCAAGAGGGAAATAGAGAACTTGAACTAAACTATAAACTGATAGTCCTAACAAACATATAGAGAACATTCCAGTCAACAGCAGAATACTCTTTCTTCTCAAGTGCACAAGGAATACTTAGACCATGTTTGGCCACAAAAAAGATTTTAAAAGGTTTACTAAATTTTAAAAGATTGACTATTCTCAGTTTACTTTTCTTGTCTTACTTCTACCATTAGATTGTAAACTCTATGAAAGCAAGGACTTTGTCTCATTTACTCTGGACTCCTATCAGTTGGAAGAGAGCAAGTCACATAGTAGATAATCATTACCAAGATAATCTAATTAAAACAGCTGCACTTTTTAAAATCTGAGCTGCACTCAAACTGCAGTTCCTAAGGTAGTTCCTATGTCCCCCATTCCCCCAATGAATTCTTCCCTGAATTTAAACTCTATCATAGCCTTATTGCCCACTATTCCCCAATATATATCCTTCACTACAACCAAACCAGAAAACCAAATCTCCTTTGAATATTCCCCAGAGTCCAACTTAATCTGCTAAAGACCATACTTAAAAGACAAGAGGGATTATTAGGCTTTATGCTGGATGAATTTTCGCCGTTTAACATGCCTGACACCCATTATTAAAGAGCCTGAGTAAAATTCAAGTCTATGACAGGGTAAAAGAGAAAACATGAAATCAATTTCTGAAGGCTCATGTCACAGATAATCAAAACAAATACTGCACACTATTAATGCTGAGAACAACTGTAACAACAAACTAACCTAACAACAGATACACAGCGTTTTAGCTGTTTAGTCAATAAGACGTGTCTGACTCTTTGCGACCCCATGGATTGCAGCCCATCAGGCTCCTCTTGTCCATGGGATTCTCCAGGCAAGAATACCAGAATGTGTTGCCATGCCTTTCTCCAGGGGATCTTTCCTGACCCAAGGATCTCCTTGGCTGGCAGGCACTTTACTGTGGGCTCAAATGACCGCTACTGCCTGGAATGGTCTCTTCTCCTTCTGTCATTCATCAATATCCCTCGTCTTTCTTCAAAGCTCAAGTCAGGGTCCTCTTTTCATTACATTTTCTAATCATTTGCTGCAACTGGATGAGAGGCCTCTCTCTCTCAGCCTCAGAGAATCTGTAATCCAACATCCCTTAGAGAATGTACACACATAATACACAGAAGATGTGTATTCCTTCTCTGCTACAAGTCTTAGAGGGTCAAACCTATCTTATTCAGCTTTACATCCACTAAAGCACCTGAGCAAATGTGCTGGAGGTATTTGCTAAGTGTTTGTTAACCTTTTAAGTTTGTCCTCGTCACAAATGAACTGAAATGACTGAAACGTCATGCTGAAGTTATATCATTCCAACAGTGCAATACAGCTGAAGCGGTTAACTCTTTCAGTTAAACAAACCAGCTGAAAGGAATGACTTAAATTCAAAATTTTACACTCCACTGAGGCGAACACGTCCGTTTCCTAACACTCTGCAACTGATTACTCACCTGAGCCCATGGTCTGTGATCTGGTAACACCCAGACAGACTGAGAAACAGAAGCACACGCCCAGTCTCTTGGTCAGATTTTTCACTCCCAGAGTAAACTAAGTCTTTTTCCCGAAGCAGTCTAGTCCTCGGTGCTTTTCTACACAGCGCAGAAGACTCTGGGAGAGCTGACATAGTTCTTAAAGCTGTTCCTGCACAACAGAATGAATGACCACAAAACGCAAAGGCCGGAGAAGCACACTGCTGTTGCCAGCAGACACTAGTCCTTAGTCCAACCATGTCCTTACTGTAACAAGCAGAGGAGGAACAACTGAAGTTGGATGCTGTTTCCATTACACAAAGACTTTCAACATTTCTATGTCTCCATTCTACAGCATCTTCAATATCAGCCAAATCTTCAGCATCTAACATCCACACATAAGGTGAAGTGAAATCGTCAGAAGAAATAGGTTTAGTCCAGGGGTGTTCGTTATCTACTTCTTCTCCAATATCCTTGTTAGTTACATCATGCACACAGGCAGACTGCTTGGAGGACTGCTGGGTAATGTCTTTATTTTTCCATGTAGTCGAAGTAACTTTGCTTGTAGAAGTTTTTAAAAGGCCACTCTCATGAGTCATCAAAATTCCAAGAGCTCTAGAAATCTTCTCTAGAGCCACATCTGTGATTTTTTCACATCCAGATAGATCAAGATGCCGAAGACTCTGGCAGCAACCAAGCCAAGACCAACTGTTAATTAAGAGGTAACAAGACTATTCGTGAATATCGTTAAATTCTTCAAAAGCATTTATTTATATGTAAATAAATGGAAACTACAGGAAAGAGTTTAAATCTTATATAATCAATCAAACATTTACTGAATATCTATTGTCAAGAATTTTTTTAGATGCCAGAAATATGCAAAGATAACAGGAGTAACTGGGAACTAATTGTTTCAGAAGAACAAGCTCCAGGAACTAGTAGAGAATTAGCCTTAGCCAGGGAAGCGTACACTGCCCTCTCTGGAACAGGAAGACAGGTACTGATATAAATACTAGGGTGGGAAAGTGCAGGGTGAGGCAGAAGGAGGAGGAAAGTAGCAGCATCCAAGGAAATAAAGTCTGAATACAGCTTGAAAATAAGTGTCAGAACTTCAGAGTAAGTACGAAGAGTAAGAGCGAGCTCTGCCAAAGGGCACTGCGAGACTCACTGAAAACGAAAGCGTCTTTAGAACAGCCCCAGTCTACACCCCTGCAGCACAGCTCAAAAGCCTAGACACAGGAGGAGGTTACAACGATGACAGGACGATACAAGTTTTGGGACCTAAAGACAAGAATGAAGAATTGGAGGATGCCATCAAGTTATTGCCATAGCATGACCAAAATTTGATAGCAAAAAATAATAGTATGATTCAGTGGCAATGATGCAAATGAAAAACTACAGAACAATTCTATCAATTCATAGTTAGAAATCATCAAATTTAAATACTCAAAAATAACTAACCTGTCAAACGCAGAATCTGAAATGTCAGTTTGGGTGAGATCCAAATGCTCCAAATTAGGACAAAGCTCTAAAATCTGCCTAACCTAAAAGGGGTAAAAAAAAATCACTGTGAAGATCTGCAGATGCTTAGTTAGGGTTAGAGACGTAACTTTTAGTGAACAATATATCCAGGAGTTCTCAAACTTTTTTGCATGTAAAAATCACTTCAATTCTGCATTACAAATATATATTGTGATGAAACCCCAGAAAATCTGTTTTTATTAATTTACATTTTTAAGGAATACCCAAGAAGATTCTGATGCAGGATGTCACAAGATCATCTTTTATAAAACTGTGATTTAATCTCATCTGCCCACCTTACCATGCCTTACATATTATAAAGAGTCATGTATGACTTCCCCTGATAGTCCAGGGGTTAAGAATCCATGCCTCTAAGCCAAGAGGCCTGGGTTCAATCCCTGGTCAGGGAACTAAGATCCCACATGCCACATGGTGCGGCAAAAAAAAATTTTTAAACAAAAAACCTGGGCTTCGTCACTTAACATCTGTGAAACTAAGTAAATTATTTAACCTCTCTTGGTCTCTGTTTCCTTTTCTATAATGTGTAGCAATGATATCTACTTACAAAGATTACTATGAGAACTGAAATGAATAAAGAAGAAAATGGGCAGTGTATGCCTACCTATGGGAAGGCACACTCATGGGTAAAGTTATTTTTCTCAAGCTTAGCAATAAGCAAACCAAATGGAGATCACTGCTACTTTTTCTTAACACCCAAGCTAGTGCAAATTTATACCTACCATTTTGCTGGAAACTGCAGAGCTGTAGGCTAATACTAAAGTTTTTACAGAAGTGCCAACATATGGTAGAACATTATGAATTAAGCCGTGGAGTAAACGTTTCTCCATTTGTGCAATGCTGATAGCAATCGATTCCTCTCCAGACTCTTCTAGAAAATGAATTCAAAAGTCTAAGAAAATGACACACCACTCATAATCAGGCTACTCAAGGAATCACTGTATTATTAAAAATGAAATACTTTTTGCTCTCCTTAAACTCCTTTATGTAAGAAAAGCAAATTTAATGGACAAGTTCTCATTGGCCAGCACTTAACATTTAACAGTTCTGATATCAACTGAAAAGAGACAAAGGGGTAAAAAAGTTTAAATGGGAGGGAAGGGAGAAATTTTTTACATGATTCAAGGTTGAAGGTAATTTTCTTCTCAAGCTAATTAACGGAGGGAAGATCAAAAATAACCAAAAACTGGGCCAAAGAACTAAACAGACATTTCTCCAAAGACATACAGATGGCTAACAAACACATGAAAAGATGCTCAACATCACTCATTATCAGAGAAAAGGAAATCAATACCACAATGAGGTACCATTACACACCAGTCAGGATGGCTGCTATCCAAAAGTCTACAAGCAATAAATGCTGGAGAGGGTGTGGAGAAAAGGGAACCAACCCTCTTACACTGTTGGTGGGAATGCAAACTAGTACAGCCACTATGGAGAACAGTGTGGAGGTTCCTTAAAAAACTGGAAATAGAACTGCCATATGACCCAGCAATCCCACTCCTGGGCATACACACTGAGGAAACCAGATCTGAAAGAGACACGTGCACCCCAATGTTCATCGCAGCACTGTTTATCATAGCCAGGACATGGAAGCAACCTAGATGCCCATCAGCAGACAAATGGATAAGGAAACTGTGGTACATATACACCATGGAATATTACTCAGCCATTAAAAATAATTCATTTGAATCAGTTCTAATGAGATGGATGAAACTGGAGCCAAATACACAGAGTGAAGTAAGCCAGAAAGATAAAGGCCAATACAGTGTACTAACGCATATATATGGAATTTAGAAAGATGGTAATGATAATCCTATATGCAAAACAGAAAAAGAGACACAGATGTACAGAACAAAATTTTGGACTCTGTGGGAGAAGGCAAGGGTGGGATGTTTCGAGAGAATAGCATCGAAACATGTATATTATCTAGGGTGAAACAGATCACCAGCCCAGGCTGGATGCATGAGACAAGTGCTCGGGCCTGGTGCACTGGGAAGACCCAGAGGAATCGGGTGGAGAGGGAGGTGGGAGGGGGGATCGGGATGGGGAATACATGTAAATCCATGGCTGATTCATGTCAATGTATGACAAAAACCACTACAATACTGTAAAGTAATTAGCCTCCAACTAATAAAAATAAATGGAGAAAAAAAAATAACCCCAGTTTCAGGTACCGAAAAAATTTTGGAAAAAACATTTTGACTACCTAAAGAACAGTGCAAGTTCTTCAAAAGAATACAGGATATGAAGAGGAAAATGAACCACAGTAAAAATAATAAAAATTATCATTCATTATCTTACATAAATAAAAGGGACATGGACCTAGAAGAGATTTGAAAAAAGTTAAGTTAGGTTGGGCCTAATGAATCAAGGAAGGAAAAATATCTTAGAATTTTTAAGAATTTAAAACTGAGCAAAGCTTTTGCTTTTCACTTAATAACTTCTATAAAGCTTAGATGTTTAAAAAAGGATGCAATACTGTAACAACAAGTACCGAAATCAAACAATAAACAAAAAACCCAATTTGATATACGGGAAAAAAAACACACTATACTAAAAACAACGAATTAATAATCTTATCCTATTGCTTTCTTGCAATCTAACTCGAATGTCTCTAAACATAAAATAGTTCAACAGGAGAAGCTGAGGAGGTCTCATTTAACACAAAACTGAGTGTAGCAGACAAAAGAAATTTAAGTAGAAAGAGTAACTCTGAATTTGTGACTGATGTTTCCATGTTACAGATATTATTCTAAATTCTTCCTTTAGCCAAACATAAATGTGGAATATAGGAATAAAAATGACTTTTAGTGAACCCTATTTATTCTACTATAATTTTATTTCCAAATGATTCTTTTGTTTCTGTGGTTCTCTAAATATGTACTGTTTACTATGAAATCCTAAGAAAAAGAAAACAAAACATCCTATGAAGAGTAATAACTTCTCTGCAAGACTAGTAAAGACAGCTAAGCTGAAAAAGTACTAACATAGACGGCAGATCCAAGTTTAGTCTTAGATGCACTACACAGCTAAACAGATATATTACCTTAGAAAGGCTCCACCATTATAACCTTAACCCTTCCCTTTCAATGTGAAAGAAAACAACAGTTGTCTCTTTGCCTATCTTTAAGAGCTGAGATAAACACATTAAGTTTTATGAGATCTTTAAAACTCAACATGGATATTATAAGTTGACTTTTTTAGAATGGGTAAATCAAGTCTTCCTAATAGTTCAGTTGGTAAAGAATCCGCCTGCAATGCAAGATATCCCGGTTCAACTCCTGAGTCGGGAAGATCACCTGGAGAAGGGATTGGATACCACTCCAGTATTTTTAGGCTTCCCTTGGGGCTCACCTGATAAAGAACCCGTGTGCTATGCGGGAGACCTGGGTTCGATCCCTGGGTTGGGAAGATCCCGTGGAGAAGGGAACAGCTATCCACTCCAGTATTCTGGCCTGGAGAATTCCAAGGACTGTATAGTCCATGTGGTCACAAAGAGTCAGACACGACTGAACAACTTTCACTTCCCTAAGGTGACATAAGACTAAAGACCGTAACTCCTTGAGGTCTTCGCTCAAATTTCACAAGAGACCTTACTTACCACTCTATGGGAAATGCTAACTTCTTTCCTCTCTTCCTGGCACACATTTCCATTCTTTTTCTCCACAGCACTTGATACTATCTAATAAAGTACATATTTTGCCTGTGTTTACTGACAGCAGCCTCCTCTAAATTTTAAGCTAAACAAAGCCAAGGATTTTTTTCCATTTTGTTACCTATTAACCTCATGCAAAAAAGTGGCTGCCACAGAGTAAGCAAATCACCAAATACCACTAGAATAGACCTCTTCCTTATATGACACCTTCAAAACATTTAAAACTATGCCACACTGCTTATTTCATAAAAATAAACCTGATACTGAAAGAGTCATCTCTGTATTTATAGCCCTTACTTTCCACAAGTTTAGTTCTTTTGCCAGACCAGCTGACTATGAGTGGGCAGCTTACAAATAAAAAATTCCTACAGGTTCAATTTTATGATGTATAAGAATATCTTATTCATCAATTCTTTCTTTTTACTACTTCATCCTCCTTTAATAATCATTAGCTAGGATAACATCAAGACAGAATTTGCGTCTTTCTCCTCCATATCCCCAAAGAGCATCTTTCTGCACGTCTACCACAGCGCTCTCCAACATGCACCAGGATTAAGAACCTTGTATTCTCAATTCTCCGGTCTGTGAGTTCTCTGAGGGCAAGGTCAAGTCTTAGTCACCTCTGAATTCTCCCACAGTGCTTAATGAATGCCTACATTAGTTTATAAAATCCTCTACCATTTACAATGAGTTCCCATATATATTACCTCTTAATTCTACAGCCACCACATGAGGCAAGTGGCATGACTGTTTACAAATGAATAAACAGGTTCAGCAGCTTCATGGTGCTTCCTCTGGGCCACAGACAACTCATAAACACTACTGAGCTGGTCAAGTGAAGTGGCCCTAAAAACGCATGTAGACTGAAGAGCACTACAATGCATGTGTATTACTTCAATAGGGAAAAAAGCCGTCACTTTCTGATTTTTGAGGTGTTTGCATAAATATAAAAGCATGTGGGAATCAAGCCTATACACAATTAAAAATGAAACAGAATTTTAAGTACACTTACTGTTCTGTCAAAGTTTTAAAAGCAGTAGGCTTACAAACACCAGTTATTTTAGAAAACACAAACTACATAAATCCTGCCACCTAAATACCTGTTAAATGTAACATTAATTATTAACGCACTATGTAACTGTTTTAAATCTAAACATAGCTTACCAGATTCATCTATATCGGCATCTTCATCCCACTCCTGAAAAGCACGACTTTCATCTTGTCTATTCTTCACCCATTCCTCATCAGGTTCGGTATCAAGTTCAGTTGCAGGACCACTATACCAGTCACCTACTCAACAAACAAACAAAAGGAACAAAGTAAGATCGGACTGTGCTCTTAGTCTCTCAATTGTGTCCAACTCTTTGCAACCCCATGGACTGTAGCCCACCAGGTTCCTTGGTCCACGGGGATTCTTCAGGCAAGAATACTGGAGTGGGTTACCATGCCCTCCTCCAGGAGATCTTCCCAACTCAGGGGTCAAACCCAGGTCTCTGGCATTGCAGGCGGATTCTTTACTGTCTAAGACAGCAGGGAAGCCCAAGATTAGACTGGCTATCATTAAAAAAAAAAAACAACAACAACAAAAAAAACTATTTTTTTTCTTCTTCTCCTAAAGTAACTTAATTTATAACAAAAACCTCTGCACAAAAAAATACATGAGCTCTAGGCAGTGAGCTAGCTATTGTCAGAAATACTCAATTGTGATTTTAAAAAGTACACTTAAATAAGCACAAAATTCAATTTCAGACACACCAAAAGAACTATGACAAATAATTATCAACAGTCTTAACATGCAATTTCAGAAATCACTGAAAACAACCAAACCTTTTTCCCTTGCTGTGGCATCAACACTGGCTCCAGCAATACCTCCATTACCACAGCTAATAAACAAAAGGAAGCAAGACTTTCTAATTCAGCACTGAATTAGTCAGCAATTCAGAAGTAGGTGGGAAAAGAAGTCAAAGGAAAAGAGTACAGTAAACCATACATTTAAAGATCCCGCAGAATGCACTGAAATGAAATTACCTGACTGTGAAAAGACTACGCACAATTAAATTTCTGAACTCCTAACATTAGTACACCTATCAATAACTTAGTGCTCCTCAATCTTCAGTTCAGTTCAGTCACTCAGTCATGTCCAACTCTTTGTGACCCCACAGACTGCAGCACGCCATGCCTCCCTGTCCATCACCAACTCCCGGAGCTTGCTCAAACTCAGGTCCATCAAGTTGGTGATGCCATCCAACCATCTCATCCTTCTCCTCCCGCCCTCAATTTTTCCCAGCATCAGGGTCTTGTCCAGTAAGTCCATTCTTCGCATAAGGTGGTCAAAGTACTGGAGTTTCCAGCTTCAGCATCAGTCCTTCCAAAGAATTTTCAGGACTGATTTCCTTTAGGATTGACTGGATTCTAAGGTTAAGGATCTTCAACCTTAGCACCAATGATATTCTGAATGGGACAACAGAGGATGAGCCATGGGGTCGCAAAGAGTCAGACACAACTGAGCGACTGAAGTGGATGGAAATGATATTCTGGACTGGCTAATTCTTCCTTGCAGAGGGCCCTCCCATGCACTGAGCAGTGTTGAGCAGCAATTCTGGCCTCCACTCAATGGATGTCAGTGTAATACTCCAAGCTGGGACAAACAAGAACGCCTCCATTTCAAAACAGGGGACATTTCAAAACATCCTTTGGAAGGGGTAAAATCAATTGTGATCAAGAACAACAGGAAACAAATACCGTAAATAAATTAACATCATTTTTATTGGGTCGAACTTTTTAAGTGTATTAAAAACAGAAAAAAGCAACATACAGCATATACAAGATATAGCTAACATCACAGAAATCTAGCCTACCGTTTATATTTGATCTTTATATCAAACAGTACCTAATTATGCATTAATAAGTAATTTTTCATAATCAAAGATACAATTAAAAAAAGAATATTTGATATATTCAAACTTGCTTTATTTGACTTTTCACTTAATATATTATTATCCTCAATAGAAAAAGTTATTCCACATTAAAATAATAATTCTAATCATTTGGATTATATAAGTCTACCAAATATTCCAAATAGCTTAATGAAAAAAATTAAATACCCAGCAAAAGCCTATTTTAAAAGTGCTACATATTAATATAAAAAATAAAACTTTTAAAATTAGGTTTATAGCTTATGTAAAATAATATATATTTCCATGTCAAAGTGACAAATTACAGAAAAAATTTTTTTTAAAAATCAATGTAAATTTGAGGTAAATACTCACCTAGAAAAATTGTTTTAATTCAGTTACAGAAGAATAAATGCCATATTAGTTACATTTATACCATGACTGCATCATATACTCATGAAAACAAAATTTTCTTTCTTTACATATAAAACTACCTTAGCACAATGAAATTAACTAATTCAAAACAGTTAAGTTAGAGCATGAGGCATAACTAATCACAAAAAAATATGCTATAGACAAAACAGATTCAGTTATCTTGAGCCACTTTCAAAATGGAAACAATACTTCCTCATTTTTAAATTTTATCAGATTAATTTATTCTATATTTCTAAAATACTCATCTAACTATTTAAAGTTGCTCTGACAACCTATTAATTTTAGTTTTAACTTTCTGTTACGGAAAATTCCAAACGTAGTCAAAAGCAGGAATAAGTAGCATTAAACAAGTAGGATAACGAACACCTATGTATCTATCACCTATCTTCAACAATTATCAGTGTTTTGCCAATTATTTTTCATTCCATCCCCAATTATTTTTTCCTAATTATCTGAAAGGAAATTGCACACATCACACAATTCACCCATGAATACGTAAGCATTGCTAGCTTTTACAAACCGTACACAAAGACAGACCTATAATCTAACTATAAAACCTAGCTTTTAGTCAACCTTTCAGAGTTCCCCTCTCTGGCCTTACTTATTAATGTCTATATGTATTCACCTAAAAAAAAAAAAAAAAAGACTAAAATATTTTTAAAACAAATGAAGCATCTCTTTACCTACCTCTGGCCCAATGAACAGGGTAAAGATGCTTCCAGAGTGATCCAGTCTTTGCCAGCTGAGACCATTTAGTGCTCACTTGACTGCAGCGACATAATTCTCGAGGATTAAGGTAACTGAAGATTGACACCATTACCTCAGGAGGAAGGTGAGTTATACCTGCGGACTGTTCTGACACCTCTGCTTCTGAAATAAAAAAGGAAAAGTTTAACATCAAAGGCTACAAGAGCAAATGCAGTAAGAAATTACAATCACATTTCTATAAGTAAAATCCAGTGCCTAAAGTCCACTCCTTCCTGCTTGCAAGATGTGAAAAGGAAATAACATGGATTAGAGGTAACATGGAGATGTTAAACTTGCTAAGGATCTGCAGGGTTAAACTATCATGGCCCAAATCATACTGCATCAGTGGGAGCTACAGTAATGAACACAGAACTGACTTCCTTTTACAAAGGCGTCACCAAAAAAAAAAAAAACAATGCTCACTTTATAGTATAAGAAGCATCATTTGAAAAAGGAATCCAACAGGTTACACAGCTTTAACTCAGCAAGTATAGAGTCAGCCAGATTATGAGATCTCCAAGGCATTTATAATGACATACCAACCTCACCATGTTTTCCGTTCATGCATGACAAGTATCTCCCTTGTGTTTCCTCTTTGATTTTCACATTTCTTATAAGAGCTCGTGAAACCTGACCTCTTTAACCTTTAGGTGACCTAATCTACTTATCCTATTTAAGAGCCAGTTGAGACAATATAATGTAAGTATTTCTAATGCTGGTATACATTTTACCAAGGATCTTTTGTCAGCAACTATTACAGAAAACAGTCACTGGATATCCAATCGCCTATAACGTATTATTTCAGTAGCAGTATTTCAAAGGAAAACTGAAAATGAGATATACAACAAAGAATATAAAAAAGTTTCAAAAAAAAATTTAAAAATTTCATCATTAAAGTAGTGAGAGGAATTTGAATATCTTATACACTTGTCTTTCACAAAGCAACTTAAATAAAGAAATGCTATCATCAAATTACTTTAAACTAACCCTTTTCAAATGGCAAATATTTCAAACACAGCACAGCTATAATTTACTTTGAAAGAATGGGAAAATTCAATGTAACAAGTATGGTGTTTTTAAATCCTATGTTATAATTACAACTAAACCAGACACAACAGGTCTTGGCTTGGTGTGTAAGGCAGAAGCTGTACTTCAGAGTGAAGCACATAAGCTTTATGGGTTTAATTACAGCTTACGCTATAAAAACAATTTAGTTTCAACACGTTCAACATGCATCTCACCTACTTTGTGCCAAAAATAAGAGAAAAGGACCAATTTCAAAGACTTTGAAGCAATTTAAGGAATGTCATTGCTAGGCTCATCTAGCAAAAGCAAAGGAATCTTTACTAGCCTAAGGATACCAATAATTTTATTTAATGATGTTTTAAAACGCAGAGTTATTGAAGAAAAGAAAGAATAAAAATGAGGAAACAGTCTGTTAAGAAATAAAGCAGGCATATTTTATTTCCATTTGTCATTTATTTTCTCAAAGTGACTATACACAGAAAAACTACGCCTCTCATACTCACTCCCCTGTGTATTTCTGCATATAAGCTATGAGAAAAGGTAAAGATGAAACTATAAGCATCAAATGATTTTGAAAACTGATTAAAAAAAAAACAGGGACAGATATAAACAGCCACTGTGGTCAGTGGAGCTCAGAAAATTGGATGACACTGCAAAAGTGCTCTATATATGGTAGTTTCCAATAATTTTGATTGGCAATAATAATAATACCTAGTATTACTGAATATTATTAAAATATTACATATAAGTAATATTGACAGTTATTATTGCTAATCAATATTATTATTATTATATATAAACTACTTTAAGAAACACTATATTGCATGTGGCCCAAATAAATGAGCTGTATAAATTATCACTGGTGTTTACTCGCTAAGTCTTGTCCAATTCTTCTGCAACTCCATGGACTGTAGTTCACCAGGCTCCTCTGTCCATGGGATCTCCGAGGCAAGAATACAGGAATGGGTTGCCATTTCCTTCTCCAAGGGATCTTCCCCACCCAGTGATCAAACTCCTGTCTCCTGTATTGGCAGGCGGATTCTTTACCACTGAGCCACCAAGGAAGCCCATAAATTATCACAGACAACAATAAATTCTAAGAAACTATTGTCCTCAATTAAATTTACTATACTTGAAAAGAAATGGCTTCAATTATTTTTCAAACAAAATATTAAGTTCATAACAACAAGAAGTAAATGGCCTTGGGATGAATAAACCACTAGCTATCTAAACATATGACTCTCACCTTTATCTGACTTTTCATCCACAGAATATTTAAAAAACTTCTGCCGCTCCTCAGCTTGATTCCAGAGGCTAAGACCTCTAAGGAGTTCTGCAGTATCCTTCTGAGAGCAGTGCTGTGCAATCACTTTCTTTTTAATATCCTTAAGCTCTTCATAGGTAAAATATTCCATTAACATGGGCTGAAAAACCTAAAGGAAATACAATACTCATAAGGAAATATGCTTCATTAGTTTTGTTTTAACCTACATCTTTTAAAGTATTAATAGTTCAAGTGTAATATTATGACCACATATTTGGAAGGCATAAAAGTTGCTGTTAACATTAGAACACCAGCATCAAGATCCTTCCTACTATGGCTTTTTCAGTCGATTTAAAAGCATTCGACCCAGAAGGTCTCCCTGCACACTGCATCACACATTCTTAAGCACCCTCTTCTGGCGAGACATTGAAGTCAGTTAACTGTCTTCCGCCTCTGTACACAGCAACCGACCTCTACCAAGCAGGGGCCTCTGAATCACAGGAGAATGGTACCCGGTGGGCTGGAACCAGAAAAGTCAGAGCTCGACGACACCTTCACCTATTCAGTATCATGTAGGAGAGTCTTTCTTCAAAACAGATGCTTGGTCCCAACCTCCAACTGAAAGAATCAGAATCTTCAGAGGTGGACTAAAGTGCGCTTTTTTCCCTTTGTTCCATAGATAATTTCGGTGTGCGTCGAAGGTTAATAAACACTGCTTTAGTAACTCAGCGGTTTTAGAACTGGTTGCATATTTGCATTTAACAGTGATTTGGGGAGCCTTTAAAATATACCCATGTTAATATCTACTTTCCATGTGATTTAACTGATCTAGAAAGGGCTTAAAAGTAGATTTTTTTTAATAGCCATCTGATTATAAAGTGAAGCCTTATTAGTGAGAACCACTATAGTACCTGATTTACAGCTGAACAAAAATCCAGTACCTCACAAAATATTCCCTCTATTCCTTTCCTGATACTCACCCCACTTTAGAGAAAAGAGAAAATGAGGAAGCGTTTTGCTCATCCATTCAGTGACATCCTAACAGGAATGCACTAGGCATAAGGCTGCCAAGTTCAACACCACCATTTAATTACTAAAATCCACTACTAAAAAAAAGATACTAAAAATGTTTAAACTTGGGATGAACACAGAAAACATTAAAAAAAATATTAAAATCTTCTAACGGTTCAGAAAAGACATTAGAGGCATAAAAGTTAACACAACATGGTAGGTACATCGACACATTAAGACAATAAATATGTTTTGAGTAAATGAATTCATCCTTCATTCAATGAAAAGCAATAAGCTCTCTAAGGAGACAAATTAATGCTTTTTTCCCTTGGGTTTTTCTTTGTTTTCTAAAATGTTTTAGAGGTTCATCTTCCTATATATTATTTTGAAGAATCAAAATAACACTTTTTAATTTTATAGATCAAAATCACAAGGAAAAATTATACTTACCTCCTCTTCCTCTTTCATGTGAGGAAGAAAGTCTCTTGTAAAAGCCTCCAGTCTCTCTTTCAGTTGTTTTGCATAATTTAACTGCTCATACTCATTCTAGAAATAAAAAATTATATTCTATAAAATATTTTGCCTCCTAATTTATATTATATCTGATCCTATAGTCACTTTAAAATGTTACTTGAAACTTCAGAAAAAAAATTAGACTAACAAATAACAAAGTGGGCTCTGTACTTTTCTAAGTACAAAAGATGGCCTCAAAACATCTCTTTAAAGAATCTTGAAATCTTTTACTAATACGATCTCCTACTTCTTTTTAAAAAGTCATAAAAAGTCTAGAAATAGCAAGCACTTGCTCAAAACTTCTACTGATTTCTAATGCATAGATTTATACCATTTCAATATGTTCATTTTCCTAATATACCTCTAAGCAGTCCACAAGAGTCTACTGGACTATATTCACTATAAAATCCCTTTAAGATTGCCTAGTGTATCCTCCACTAAACAATTCAGAATAGCTGTTACATGACCCTGCAGAACACCATAAACACTTCTGAAGGCAAGGCTCTCGCTCCAGCTTGAAGTAAAGCACTGTAATCTTGGACAACAACTAAACTGTTCCTCCCCATATGAACTAAGATCGTATCTTCCTGTAACTTATCCATCACTACATGTGGAGAATTTACAAAATAGTGAAACTGATAAAATGTGGGAACATTTTATTCCCTGCTGAGTCCTCTCTAGTCTCCAGCTTTCTGAACTAATTTATAGTCAACTGCTTCCTAACAGTCTACCCAACGTCCTATTCTCTCAGGATTTTACACATTTTCCCTAAGCATACTCAAATTTGCTTTTCCAAACCAAATTACTCTTCCAAGCTTGAAGCCCAACTAACGCTTCCTCCTGCTAATCAACATCCACCTGGACTGCACAAACAAGTCACACTCAACTTGTCCATAATGGATCTCTTCATTCCCCAAGTCTCATCTACATTCCCTAGAAGGCCAAGCTCGATTCTCAGTTTCATTTTGTTTCTCTTTCTCCTTTCCTCCCTTTATATGCAAGCACTGGTGGTGTTAGTCGCTAAGTCACGAACAACTCTTGGGACGCCATGGACATAATCCGCCAGCCTCCTCTGTCTATGGGATTTCCCAGGCAAGAATACTGGAGTGGGTTGCCATCTCCTCCTCCAGGATACTTTGCTGACCCAGTGATCGAACCCGCTTCTCCTGTAACAGGCAGGCAGATTCTTTACCACTGAGCCACCAGGGAAGCTGTTTGCAAGCGCTACCTTTATCAACCTCATGTTCTACATTGTTCTGAAGTCTGTTCCCTCCCCTCTGTCTTTGCGAGTCACTACTTTAGTTCTGATCTTAATCATTTCATTGCATAGGCAATACATGAACATAATATGAATGCAAAGAGTATAATGAAGTATTTAATAAATACCACCTTCCTTCCCAGTACCTCTCCCTAGGCAATCTCCCACCTCCCTACAAGTGGCTACTATGTACTCTTCTATAGATTATTATAATCATCTTTTTATAACAACCATACTGTTTGAGCCTTTTCTTTCCCTTCAATCCGTCCTCTTCCCTGCTGCACAACACTATTCCTAGAATACAAACTTATCAATGAAAGGTGCATGATGGTCTGACAGAGCTGCAACTAAAGTCCATGTTTCACCAGGCCAAAAGGGGGACAGTGGAAGATCAAATTTCAAATACCCTAAAATAAATAAATATAATTAATAGAGAAATTTCTCCATACACAATTATCCTAAACAATACCCCAAAATATCTTTAATCTTATGTTACACAATTAAAAATTATTCTTTGTAATCAGTCCCATGGCCCTGTTCATTCTAAGTAACAATCTTACCTTTGGTGGTGGTTTAGTCACTAAGTGGTGTCCAACTCTTGCGACCCCATGGACTGTAGCCTGTCAGATTCCTCTGTCCATGGGATTTCCCAGGCAAGAACACTGGAGTGGGTTGCCATTTCCTTCTCCAGGGGATCTTTAGGACCCAGGAATCGAACCCAGGTTTCCTGAATTGCAGGTGGATTCTTTGCCAACTGAGCTATAAGAGAAGCCCATCTTACCTTTTGTCACCAACAACTGCATCTATTCGGGCTTTCCTAGTGGCTCAGTGATAAAGAATCTGCCTGTAAAGCAGGAGACCCAGGTTTGGTCTCTGGGTCAGAAAGAGCCCCTGGAGGAGGGTATGGCAACCCACTCCAGTACTCTTGCCTGGAGAATTCCATGGACTGAGCCTGGCAGGCTACTGGCCATAGGGTAGCAAAACAGCGACTAACTGACAACAAAGAAGTGTGACAAAGATGCTCACTAAACCAGAGTCTTCTCAGGCTCCACTGAGTCTTCTCAACTAGGCTCTGACCTTGAGGTCTGTCCTTGGCCCAGTTATTCCAGTTTAAGCAAAAATCATCCAGAATCAGTTTATCCACCCTACCCCCACCACCCTCAGCATTTGATAACCCTCAAGTATCTATGCATTCTCAATATCTTGCCACCTTGGTCTATCCTCAGCAAAAGGCAACAAGGGTCAGTCTAGCAGGAATCTCCCAGCCTTGATGCTTCCTCTTAGTAATTTTCCTGACCCTTAGCCTGTTCTCTGGCTTTCCCCACTGGTCCTTGTCATATTCTGAGTTCAGCCCAATCTCTCTCCCTGACTGCAAAACTCCACGGCAGTAATCCCCTGAAAAAAATCTTCCTTACTGTCTTTAACAAGTGTCATTTTTTTTTAACACAACATTATTTGCTATGAAACCCTAACAAGTTTTGCCAATGATATATCAGAAGATGGCACAAGCTGTGATAAATATCCATTTGTACAACTCACCTTAACATTCTTCAGACCCTTTTCAAAGAGGCTAAGCATCTCAGAGAGTTTATTGTCAGAATGTACATTATAAATGGTCTGGCTGCGTTGTTGAAGCAAACCAATAATGTATTCATTTTCAATCTGCTCGTGCATTTTGAACTCCTTAAAAGTAGCATACAGAGACTGCAGAAGAGCACGGAAATCATTGTTGTTGGAAAAGTTGGTTTTAGAAAGCTGGAAAAAATTTAAAAAGAAGGCATAATACATACATGCAAATATGCATCAAAAGGAAATATTCAAATGCATTCCTATTTAGTTTTGAACAGAGCAAAATACCTCCCTTACACTTTGTTAAAGTAGAAAAGGAAATTCTTAAATTATAAGTTTTAATTGTATAATAAAAAGTGCCCCAGGTAGGGAAGATGTTGATTTCTGAAGGAAAGGATATATACACCAACAAATCACACAGTTTCTTTAAATATGAGATTAAACCAGACTTCCTCAAAACCTAAAATTCCATTACTCTATATTCCATATACTAAATTCCATGTAGTAAACACAGATACCTCACAGAGTTATATGTAAACATTAAAGGAGCTGTATTAGGATAAAGTGACACACTTTTTTCTTTGTTCAAATGCCCTGTATGCTATTATACTACTTTTACAATATAAGAAATTCAAAAACTTTCTATTATAAATTGTTTTAACTTTAATATCACGATGAGTCTGATTTGTTCAGAAAATAAAGTACTGAGCTACTAGAACATTATTAGATAATTTTAGAAGAACTAATTTTTTTTTTCTAAGAAAACCACGGTAAACACTGAGCAGTTTATATAAGGAACCATGTACTTTTCTAGAGTGGAGGCACTTCAGCAGTACAGTGTGAAAACCTTGTACATCAGGGCATAAGAAAGTACATGCTCTTGAAGGAAAGGCTAAAATCAATGAAAATATAAATAAATAAATACACTGTCATTTTCTCTAATTCTATTCAACAAGAGAAAATGACGATCCTGATATAATTTTATTTTTCTGCATTTAATGTCAAGTTAAATTCTCATGTTGAAAGCATACATATTATCAAGAAACTTGATTCAAGCTGAAGTTCAAAGTAATATTCAAACCTTCTGTTATCTCCACTGTCATATTCAATGCATCTTCTATGATGTCAATTCCAATTTCAAAACCCATTTTAAAAGTGAAAACCTGATTAAGTTAAAAACAACACAGAGTAAATGAAGAAGAAGCTACAAACACCACACTTCCTAGACTTGTTCTGCAGTCTGATCTAGTATTCCGAAAATAGAGAGGAGTCCATGGTGTCTTAATTGCCTGTTTTGGGCAAGACGACCAGGCTCATGACACAGCATCAGAAAGATGACAAGACTCCTAAAGTAAGACTATTCCACTATATAATTTAACCAAGGATCTTCTGTGAAAGGCAGAGGAATGAGGCATAAGGGTCATTTACAAAAAAACAGACGTTAGCATCAAGATTCTCTAGGGGTGGTTCCCTCCTACTTGTCTATTAAGCTCGGTAACTCTGGGCAAGCTATTTTTCGCCAATGTCTTAGTTTCTTCTCGGTGTTAAATGGGAATAATAAAACTACCTGTACTTCACGTAACTGCTGTGAGATTAAATTGGTGCCTAATAAATATTAGCTATCATTACTTTGAAAATTATTCATTTTTATAAAAATTCATGTGTTTTTTAACCTTATTCAAATATTTAATGAGCAGCTATTATAAGCCAGTCACTGTTTCTGGTAGTTGGGATAGCTCAGTGAACCAAACAGACATCCCTGCCTTTATGAAGTTTACATTCTAGTGACGGGAAATAAAATAACAAACTAACCACAATAAATAAATTACTTATAACAGGTGCTGGCAACTTTTTCTGTAAAGGGCCAGATATTTTAAGTTTTGTGGGGCATACCGTCTGCAGCAACTATTTAATTCAGTTGTTGTAGCACATAAGGAGTCACATGAATCCGTGGCCATATTCCAATGAAATTTTACTGATATTTATGGGCACTAAAATTTAAATTTCACACAGTTTTTGCATGTCATAAAATATTATTCTTATTTTTTCCAACAACTTAAAAATGTAAAAACCATTCTGAGCTCCTTAGCCACACAAAAATAACTGGGGATAGAGTTGGTTAATCCAAGGTTGTAAATTTTCTTAAGAAATGTCACACAAAATTACAAGAAAATTCACTAGTAGCTAACCTCAGCAAATACTATCATGTGTCATTGTATTAAAGGAAATTAAAAATGAGTGAGTAGAGATATTGATAAGAGATATAACAAATGAAAGCATTAATGATAACTAAAATTTTTTTTAAAAAAAAAAGGATAGCAGAAAACTAAATAATGTCCTCATGTGAGTTATGGAAAATAACATCTTAAAAAAAGACATGCAGGAAGCTTCGCATATATTCTCACTGAACTATTAGAAAATCTTTCGTATTTAGTAACAAGCTCAGGTAAAGACCATGCCATGCTACAGACTGAGAACCCAAATTAGAGGAAAGGACTCTACGTAGTACAGAGTCAGTCCCGCAGAGTGGTTAAAGATGCTGACTGCAGCTAGACTGCTTAGGTGTGAACCCATCTCTGCCAGCTTTGTACCTCACTCGATGTCTTCCTCAGGAAAATAGGCCTAATGACATTAACTACCTAATAAGGCTCTCGTGACAATTTAGTAAGTTAGTATATTTAAAGGGCAAGGAATGTAACACACATAATCCTACTTGGTTTTTCTCTTATTCCTTATTCCTATGGAAAAGTGAAAGTGAAAGTGCTCGTTACTCAGCTGTGCCCAACTCTTGTGACTCCATGGGCTGCAGCCCGCCAGGATGCTCTGCCCATGAGTTCTCCAGGCAAAGAATACTGAAGTGCGTTGCCATTTCTTTCTCCAGGGGCATCTTCCCAACCCAGGAACTGAACCCGGGTCTCCTGCATTGCAGAGAGATTCTTTACCAACTGAGCTATTTAGCCCAAATAAAGTTAGAAGTCCTTATCCTACTGAACAGTTTTTCTCCATTTGAAAAGAGCAACTGTCTTTAACCAGGTATCTAAAGTCAGTGCAGTGAAAAGAATAACCTAAGCATATACAAATTAAACTTTTTAAAAATTTACATATATGAATCATTTTTTAAAATTGCTTGGCTCTGCAAAGTTATTCAATCATAGAGACTTGATTGAAACAAAACAATAAACATAGACACTAACAACATCTGGGACATACTGAGGCCTACAACGTGGTAGGTACTATACTAAATAATTTCATGTATTACTTAATTCTTAAGAATAATCCTAGTAAACTGATGTTACATTTACCATTTTATAGGTGAAAAACCTGAAGCTCAGAGAAAATAACTTATCCCAAACCATACAACTTGCAGACACAAAACAGAGATCAATCTCTGGGTTTGTGAGACCTGCTTATTTCCCACAAGATACCATTTTAGTCCCCATCATACAGCCATCTTTTCAGCTCCAGCAGAGTGCACTGTCAGAACGCTCGCTCTAAAGGACTCCTTCTCACTGAGGGGTTGATTTCGCCCCCAAGGAACTGATGGACAAGGTCTCCACTGCATCTTAGTGGGTATGGCAGGAAAGGACTAAACATCCTGCCAGGTGCAGGACAGCCTCCACAACAAAGCATCGTCTGGCCAAAACGTGCCAGTGCTGCAGCTGAGAAGTACGGCTCCAAATAAGCGTTTTTTCAACCATGTTTAACCAGAGGGCAAGAGGAGAAGGGTACGACAGAGGATGAGATGGTTGGATGGCATCATCGACTCGATGGACATGGATTTGGGTGGACTCCGGGAGTTGGTGATGGACAGGGAGGCCTGGCATGCTGCAGTTCATGGGGTCGCAAAGAGTCAGACATGACTGAGCGACTGAACTGAACTTAGTAAGAAATACAGTCCAATCTAGACACATACACTTCTACTAAATTTCAGGAATCAATACTTCCTATCCTGTGATGTACTCTCATCATTTACTTTTCTATTTCATGTTCTTAACGCTATTTCTGATCCACAAAACTGATTCCAGAACATACAAATGGGTCACAGAACTCACTCTGAAAAACACTGTAGGATTATAAAAGTTCCAAAGTGACCTGTAAGCTTATATCCTCTGATGCATGGCAAACTTAACACAGGACCAGGATACATAAAATGAAAAAATAACAACATTCAGGCACATAATATCTCCTATATTTTCAAAGAGTTTATAACTGACTTTCTGTCTCAGACACTCTACAATGTAAAATCATACTTACAGACTGGCTTTAAACTGATCTGAAGTTGTGTGTCACTTAAAAAAAATATGTATTAAGTTCAAAAACAGATATGAAAAACAGTGTAACAAAAATTCAAATAATATTACCCCAACTAAGTTTTACTTTTTCGTTCCTCAGCCAGATAATCCTTTCATTTGATCAAGACAGATTTACATTGAATGAAGAAACCTTAGTAATTATCTGCTCAAAATGACAGAAAAACCTATGATCCACCGATGAAATGTTCTGCATAAAATCATGTAATTAGTAATAAGGAGCAGAACGAGTAGGGTTAACACAAAAAAAAAATGGGCTTCAGGAAGAAAAAAAAAAGTCCTAAAGACGAAAATTCAGCCTCCCCTAATTACTAGCTGAGTGAATTAGTTCGGTAAGTTATTAATACTTAACCACTAAGTCTGTTTCCTCATCTTTAAATAAGGTCAACACTTGTCTCACAAGGCTCTTGTGAGGATTAAAAGTAAGGAAGCACGTAATAAGAATGTGTTGAATTCCCTTTTCTTTCCCCTCCTTAGCTCTCAATTCAATATTCTCTCCAATAAATCAACCTTCCCAATGTCAGTCAATAACGGTTTTTACAGGTATGCAGAGAAATAGAAAAACAAGGAAAACTAAATATATTCTTCATAAAGCTATACTCATTCAATTTTTTTAAAAAATAATCTATTCAAATTATTCTGAGCTTGTTTTATCCCTAAGGTTTTGGTCATAAAATGTCCTATCTTTATAAAATGATAAAACAGATGGCATAAGATTCTTATCTGAAAAACCTGGGCACTCCTTAAAGCCTTCGCCAACTGAACTTTTTATAGCTGGTCAATGTATAAGTCTGGAAATCTCTGTGCCATGCACATCCTTACAACCATCACCTACTTTGCTCTCAGAAATCAATTCAAAGAGGCTATTAGCCCACTTCTGACCCTTTAATGTAAAGCTGACCAAATGCTGCCCCCTTTGCTCCCACCATAGGTCATCTGGATTTCCACAAAGCACAAACCTCAGACTACCATCCGAAGAAAAGGAACTTCTCAAACGGCCAATACAAGCTACTACAGGACCAACTGACAGTGAAAACTCCACGCTCACTGGCAGAATTAATGCTGCTAAGTTTTGAGGACTAAGGAAAAACTGAGGCATTAGAACAAACTGGAAAAAGGATGTGACCCAATATAAATATTGCCTAAAATCATCCCGATTTGGAAGGTGAGTGAATTAGCAAGATTTCATAATAGATTGTCACAAAAAAAAATTTTCAGAAACTATTCTGGTTTCATCCAAAGAAAATTCAACTAGGAATCAGTCTCCTGACTTGGCTTCCATTTGGATCCATCACTGACTACTTATGCAAACTTGGTCTAACTAATCTAAGCCTACACATCCCCAGCTATAGAACAAAAATATTTCTTTTACCTAACTAAAAAGACTGCTATCTGGATAACAAGTGAAAAACTTTTCCATAAAACCTTCTATAAATGTAAAAGAAAACTCATGAGCAAAGTATTAAATTAGGTACTATACAGCACTATTTAAAATGGCTCATAACTTCAGAATAAATTATTCTAAATCAACTAGCTTAAATATATAAATAATGGGTGTTACTAATAAACAAATGAATGCTTCTAAAATACACCACACTTGAAAAGTCAATATTCAAAATAAAACTGACTTCTTTATAATTACTGAGCACTCAGAGACAACATAAAGAATACCATGAATTAACACATCTTGTATTAAGTACAAAAACTAGTTCTCATTTTGTGAGGTTTGACTATATGCTGTTTGGGTTGGATACCCTGGTCTATCCAACCAAAACATGGTAAAGGCAAAAGTTGAGGTGATAAACGAATAAAAACGTATAGTCCTTTGAGACAATTCAGTCATCATAAAATACTTTTTTCCCCTCTAGCTCCCAAGGGCATACTAGGAGAAATTTCAGTTAACTATTAGCATCAAAAAGAAATCCAGATGTAGAATTCCTATGTATTTTTCCCCCTAAATCACCTTGTTCTCTGATCCATAGTTCATAAAAATTGGAATTTTTAATCTTCCTGATGAATATATACAACAATCTAATCAATTCAAAATTAGTGATAATTTTAATTTCTGCTATATCAAATTGAAAATGCTTTCAAGAAGGGACATTGAACTACCAAGAATCTTATTTAACTAAAATAGTGCTTTTAATAAGGGCACTGTATTTTCAAAATCTGTTCTAATGTTCTCAAATCACCAGGTAATGACACACAATATTAGTGACTGACTGCTTCAAATTTTTTACATAGGGCTGGTTAGTCTAGCATGTAACTAAATAAAGTTGTGATCCTTAACTATCTGGGGAGGGTCACCATCATTTGGAAATCTGATGAAAGCCATTAAGCCCTCAGAAAAATGAACCAAAATGTTCAAAACGATTCCAAGTGGTCCTGGACTACCTCTACCCAATCTATAATAGAAGACTTCAAATTCTATTACTTCCTCATTAACTTTACCTTTTCAATTTTGAGAAAGTTAAAAATCCTCCCCAATTTTTTTCTTTCCTGCAGTTGAAGGATACTGTCAGAATAACTAAGTTCAAAGGTCAGAGCAGGTAAACAGGTAAAAACACTACAGTAGGCTAACTCAAAAATCCAAAGTTATAGACTTAACTACTTACCCACTTACTATGTTTCTCCTGGATAAGTGACTGTTGCCCTTGGCTGCACGGTGGACTCACAGAGAACTTTAAATAATACCTGATGCCAGGTCCCACCCTCAGAGATGCTGATTGGAGCGGTTAGGGCATAGGGACTTCTAACAGCATTCAGGGTGACTCTAATGAGCAAAGAAGGTTGAGAACCACTATCCTAGACTACCCTGGTATTTAAACCTATATCTGAATCGTGTATTTTTAATTTTCAAAATGGAGGGAGGAAAAAGATGGTTGTGGATGCTTTTTTAAGTGTGGCCTGGCACTGAACACTGAAGGCATCCTCCGACCAGCTCACTGGGATGTAAGAACACCTCTTTTCTCTCAACAGTGCTGTAATTTCTGAAAGTTCATCAAAGTTGACTTCTACGCTGAAGCATTAGAGGTCTTTAAGTGCTTTTTTGTTTGATTCACTGCTACACAAAGCATGATTGCCAGGTCGTCTCAGAATACCCGTAGGTGGACTCTCCCCAACACAGATGTTTGACAAAAATGCGGACTCCTAACACCGTTAAAATTATAGGCAAAAAGCCCTGGGATAGCTCCACAAATATGCTTTTTCAGCTTTAGGCTGCACCTATTGAGAGTACAAAACGGCTCTCGCAGTTCCACCAACTTGTTCCCAGGCCCTTTTATTCGAGCCCACGTAAAGAATTCCAGCAGAGAATAGCTGTCTCATAACAAAACCGACCTCCAGTAAACGCTCCGGACGATCAAAGTTGCAAGGGGGGAAAAAAATGACCGCAAATAAAAGAGTGAATGTTCTCTGCTTCGTAAGCCAAGAAACCTTTCTCCCAAATCAAGCCCCTACAAAGCTGAGGGGGAAAAAAAGAATGGGCAGATCGAGTTGTAAAGAAGATGCCTGCGGGGCCAGGACGCAGGTCAGAGGTTCAGAAGAAGGATGGATGGGTGATAGTTAAGGAGGCACGGGGAGACCCCCCCCCCCCCCGCAAAGCCGGTCGGGGCAGGGCGGAGGGGACAAGGCTGAAAGGGGAGGGTGTGCAGCTGCGAGGACCGCCTGCGCCGGGCGGAGGAGGCCCGCAGGTGGCCGGCCCGGGTCCCCAGGAGTCGGCAGGGGGCGAAGGGGCCCCGCTCCCCCGGGGGACCCGGCGGGAGGCCCGACGCGGCCGCGGGGAGCGCGCCCCCGAGGGCGGCGGGTGGCCAGGCCTTCGGCCGGGAGGGGGTCGCGCCGCGAGCTCCCGGGAGCACGTCCGAGGGGCCAGCCCCGCGGGGAGCGGGCTCCCGGGGAAAGCGGCGTGCTGACAGCTGCGCAAGCGGCGGTTCGCGCGGCGCGCGGCCCCTGGACGCTCAGGGCGCCGCTCAGGCCCGGCCCTCCCGGAGACCCGGCCCGCGCCTCCACGCTACCCGGAGCCCGAGGCCCCGCAGAGCGGTACCTTGTCGCAGTAGAGCCCCACCAGCTGCTTCATCCGCCAGTGCGGGGCGGTGAAGACGTCCACTTCTTCGGGGAAGGGCGCCATCGCCACCGCCGCAGCCGCCGCCGCCTCAGCAGCCGCGGCCGCCGCCTCTCCATAGACACCCTCGCCGCGGGGCAGAGGCGGCGCGCCCCCCTGCGCATGCGCCCGCCCCGTCGGCGCGCGCGCCCGAGCTGCCCAGCAGGCGGAGGCGCGGGGGCGCGCGCGGGCTGCCGCCGCCATGCGGTCCCTGCCGCACCACGTGACCCGACGCGCGGCGGAGGCTCGCGCTTCCACCTCCCAGCTCCGCTTTCGTTCCTCGTCTGCCCGAGAAAGAAACCGTGTCTTTCCCTTTGTTTGCTTCCCTGTTAACGTAACGCGACAGAAAAGACACGATCTGAGGGGAGAGGGTGTCGTCTCAGAGGCGTTGTCGGCGCACCTCTTGGCCGCTGCGCCCACCAGGCCTTGAGGCCGAGGCGCCGAGTACAAAGGGCCCGGCCGCCCAGTTCGCCTCAGCGCCTGCGCTGGGCGCGCCCCGGCCCCCACGAACCGCTCTTCGCCTCCCGGCCTTTCCCGGTGCCTGCTTGGCCCCCCGGCCAGAGCGCTGACCTCCCTGCCCGCCGATCAGGGGTCCCCAGCGATGAGGGGAACCGGGCCTGGGGGGTTCCAGAACTTTCGCCTCTCAGGGAAAACCGAGAGCAGGCCGAGGCCAGACAATGGCGGCCCCTGGGCTTGAGGGCGGGCGGGGAACCCCGGGGCTGGGGGCTGGGCGGGGACCACGCTTCGCCTCAGGGACAGGCAGGAACGGAAGGCCGAGCGGAATAGTGGAGGAAGACTCCTAGGAGGGAAAATGTCTCCTGGGAATCAAAGGCGGGAAGACGCTTGAAGCTCAGAGATACCCGGTCAGGGTTGTCAGTAAGGGCCCTGGGTGCTGGGGAGTCTCGAGCGTAAATAATCCCAGAAAGTCGGTTGCGGGGAAAGAACCGCAGGACACATCCCTCCATTTTAAGCTGAGAGAAAGGAGACTGCAATCAGGTCACTGGCAAGAAAAAGGTCAGTCTCTTCCAGACAGGTCGACTTATCCTGGCCTCAGTCCTCCAGGAGACCTAGGAAGACCCTGTTATGGGTCCAGATCAGACCTGGACTGTGTGAAATGAAATATTGCCTGCCATGTCAATAAATAAGAAATGTTTTATTGCCATCAGCGATTTCTGGCATCCCAATGTGAATGAGGGTGCTCAAAATGGAATAGGGTGGCGGATGCAAGAAGCAGTTGCCACTCCTTAAGATGATCGAGGAAATAGGATTGGCCCCAGATAGCTGAGGGGTGAATTCAGTGAGCCCAGAGGCTGCCATCTTCCATACATAGCATGCTAAATTACCTAACTTGATATTTGAGTTTTCTTACCTCACAATAATCTTTCATGTTCAGACTGCCTGCTCCCTTTGTTGCAAACTTGTTTATAGCCTGACTCCCCTCCTGCCTCCTTGGAGCGGTTTTGTCTGAGCTACTGAGATGCTGTCTCCTGGGCTTGGGTCCTAACTGCTTCCATCAAATAACTCTCTACTTTCAGGTTGTGACTGTGTTTTTTAGTCGACAGCTGGTTGGTTGGAGGGTTCATGAACACAGAGAAATGGGAGAGAAAACAGGAAAGGTTGGAAACCTGGGGTTATGGGGTGTGGGGCTGTGTGTGCGTGTGTTCAGTCACCTCCAACTCTTTGTGACCCCCATGGACTGTACCCCATAGGGCTTCTTTGTCCATGGGATTTCTCAGGCGCAATTATTGGAATGGGTTGGCAGCATTTCCTCCTACAAGGGATCTTTCTGACCCAGGGACCGAACCCATGTCTCCTGCATCTCCTGAATTGGCAGGTAGATTCTTTACCATTGAGCCAGCTGGGAAGCCCTGATACGTAATTTGCTTAATGACTCTGAAATCCAGGAGAGCAAGAGCCAGGTGTGTTCTGTTCAGCCCTTACATCCATACTCTCAGAGTTCCAAGGCAACACAGGGGTTTGGTGAATATTCAGTAAATGATGGATAGAAGAACATAAGAACTTTGCATAAGAGTGCTTTCGTTTATTTCTAGTCTTACTATGTGCCACTTACTGAAAGGCAGTATGAGCAGTGTTTGAGAGCACAGATTGGCACTGAAGCTGGATTCCTGGTTTGAGGGGTACTGCATGTGTGACCTTGAGCAAGCTTCCCTAACTTCTCTGTGCCTCAGGTTCCTCATATATGTAATGGGGTTAACACAGCCATGAACTCTATGCTTGCACCCCCCTCAAATTCAAATGCTGAAACCCTACTCCTCATGTGATGTTATGAGGTGGGCAGTTGGGAGGTAATAGGATTAGATGAAGTCATGAAAGTAAAACCCTAATACTGAGTCCCTAACGAGCTCACCACCCTTCTCTGCTCATTTGCATGTGAAGACGTGAGAAATCAGCAGTCAAGCCTTTGCCACGCTGATACCTGATCTTGGCCTTCCAACCTCCAGAACTAGGAAAAATAAATTTCAATTGCTTGTAAGCCACCCTGCCTATGCATGGGCTTCCCTGGTAGCTCAGCTGGTAAAGAATCTGCCTGCAGTGCAGGAGACCTGGGTTCGATTCCTGGGTTGGGAAGATCCCTTGGAGAAGGGATAGGCTACCCACTCCAATATTCTTGCCTGAAGAATTCCATGGACAGAGGAGTCAGGCAGGCTACAGTCCGTGGGGGGTCTCAAAAAGTCAGACACGACTGAGCGACTTTCGCTGACTAGGGTATTTTAACAGTCTGAGCGACTGAAACAAATACCTACCTCATAGGATTGTTATGAGAATTAAGAGAGTTCATATAGATGAATTGCTTATAATAGTACCTAGCACATAGTAGGGTTTCCCCGGTGGCTTAGTGGTAAAGAATCCACCTGCAATGTGGAAGCCACAGGAGACCAGCATTTGATCCCTGAATCGGGAAGATCCCCTGGAGGAGGGCATGGCAACCCACTCCAATATTCTTGCTAGGAAAATCCCATGGACAGAGGAGCCTGGCAGGCTACAGTCCATAGGGTCACAAAAAGACACAACTGAAGTGATTGAATTGTGTGAGGTGTACTGCAGGAAACTAAGTCTTGGTGATAATTGCCTAGCATCCCACAAATTAGTAAGTGAGGAATCTGGCCGTATGAATCTAGGCCTAATAACACCGTGCCAGGCATTCTGTTAGTTGTGTGGGATATGGAGATGATGGCTTATACATAGTCTGTCTTAGAAATGAGAACAATTCTTGTATAATAGAATATAGAGAAGGTCCTTGATAGCTATTTCACTTTCTCTCATCCTCTCCCCCGTCTTCATTCTTTTTAAACTCTACTATTTCACTACAGCTTTGCGTCTATATTTTCTGATATCCCCCAGAAGACATTTTCTTATTTTCCTTCTGTTTCTTTACCCTATTCTGATCTGTCACTCAAGTTGTTTCGAAATGTGGACCCAGACCTCAGGTCAACCAGTTACACAAAGCAATGAGCTCCATGAGACTAGGCACATGGTTTTATCCTCAGCACTTAGAACAATGCCTGTCATACATACACTGAGTACTCAATCTTTGTTGAAGAAAGAAAGAAGGAAGGAAGGAAGTTCATGGCATTCTGTAATTTCCCCATTTTGTGTGTTAGTCACTCAGTTGTGTCCAACTCTTTGCAACCCCATGGACTGTAGCCCGCCAGGTTCCTCTGTCCCTGGGATGCTCCAAGAAAGAATACTGGAGTAGATTGACATTTCCTTCTCCAGGGGCTCTTCCCAACCCAGGGATCGGACCCTGGTCTCCTGCATTGCAGGCAGATTCTCACAATATTTTGTTTCACAATACCAATTTGTGTCTGTTGTTCACCAGTATACCCCTAGAACCAGGCACATTGAATAGGTGTTTAACAAACGAACAAAAAAAAGGCATTCCACACAGTTTCACTGTAACCTAGACCCTGAAGCAATGTAGTTAGCTGAACAGTAGTAACAGCCATATTGGACTGATCATTTCAGGGAATTTAAGATGATAAAATGAAAGAAAGTAATAAAAAAAAAGTAATAAGTCCCATGGGTCATTCTTCCCTTCAGAAGAAGCTATTAACTTTTGCACCATGTGCTGAGTAAGGTAATAATTAATCACCAGATATATCCAGAATACATGATTGCTTTACATTAAACTTTAGCCCTAGAAAGAAGACATTGATCAGCCTAGAATCATTTTTATGGGTTCCTGCAACTACAGCAGATCAGGAACTGCTATTAAGGTCAAGGTTATTGGCTTAATCATGCCTTTATGATTTCTTATGACATATGAAAGTGAAGGAATTCTAACAACCATCTCCTCATAACATCACGTGAGGAGATTTCAACATCTGAATTTGATGAGGGCTCAAGCAGTGAGTTTATGGCTGTATTAACTCCATTTTACACATGAGGAAACAGAGGCACAGAGAAGTCACGGGTAACAAGGGACTAGATAAGGCATAAAAACAGAGCAGCAAAAATGCACGGTGCAGAGTGCCCAGTGGACTGGGAACGCCTTTCCTTTTCTCATTCTCTCTGAGAACAGCATGCTATGGGGGAAAAAAATGCCAGATCATTCCCCGGTGACCTAAATGTCTGATGACATGAGGCCTCTTTACTGGTATTGTTGCAGTGAAAAGGAAAAAAGAGGAATGAGTTGGTTTTGGTTGTTTTTTTTTTTTTCCTCTTTCCTAAGAACAAAGAAGATAGCGAGCAGGCCTGATCGCTCCTAGTTTTTACTTTTTTACGTTGACCATCTGATTCGAAGAGCCGACATACTGGAAAAGACCCTGATGCTAGGAAAAGATTGAAGGCCAAGGAGAAGAGGGCGGTAGATGATGAGTTGGTTAGTTGGCAGTTGGTGATGGACAGGGAAGCCTGGCATGCCGTAAAGAATCGGACAGGACTTTGTGACTGAACAACAATCTGTAATCTGTGACTAAATTTGCGTTTCTGCCCCCTAAGTCTGCAGAAGCTACATTTCACACCTGTTACCATTTGATTCTATGCTAATTACATCCTGTTTCTGG